AACCTTTTAAGGTTAGAAAAATATGGGTTAAAATTATGTTATGGTTAGGGCCCCTCCATTGTCGTGGTTACAATAATAACCACTAGATTAATTCAGCCAATGATCATGGTCAGGCTAAAACAAAAAAGCTGATGCAGACCAACAACTGACTCCTGTGTGGAACTCCCATGTTTTGTTGAGACATCCAACTCATTCCTGCTTAGAGTTTGTCACTCTGTAACCCAGGCGCCGTTGTATCTGGACCCTAGACCTATGACCGATAGATAATTGAAAATTATATAATTTTGATGGAGCGCTTGTATTTTAACCGGCGCAGCTTTTCCAGACATTACGGCACTCGTTCAGCGGTCCAGGAAACACACCGACCAATTACATGTGTTGTAAATCATCTCACGTGATGCTACTCAGCCAGTCAAATATCTGTATTCCGATAAACATCGCAGCTTGAGTGAGATATAAACAGACAGGAGAGACAGGAAGAGCAGAGAGACCTAATAGTTGGAATAGTACGTGAGTCAGAACAGTTATTTCACATGGCGTTCTCCAAAAAGAGAGAAGTGGACAGAGCCTTTAACCAAGAATGGACGGACTCATATCTTCATTCATCCCACGGGCAGTTTAAAACCAGTATGTCTCATATGTTCAGAGACCGTGACGATTATTAAAAGCGGTAATGTCAAGCGCCATTACGAGACAAAGCACAAATCTTTTGAGCAAACGTTCCCACTCCAATCCAAAATGAAGGCACAGAAAATACACCCAAGAGCCCAATATGATCAGAATCCTAACGCATGAATTCACTGCCCAACAATGATGTTAACAGAGAGGAATAGAGCACAGGTAAAGTCCCTGCACACAAATTTATCTCATTAGAAGATGAGAATAATATCATATTGTGTTTTTTTTTGGTTGACATCACTTCACACCTAAATTATCTGAATTTAAAGCTGCAGGACAATTCAGTTAAATTCATTTTTCAAAGCTTAAGTACTTTATTTTAAGATAAACAAGATAAGCCAGTTAAATTTGAAAACTGACAATAAATATTGAGATATCATTCTATTCTTTATTTGATTTGACAGTCAGTTGTTGACTACATACAGACGTTGATGCAACTGTTTGCTAATTCAATATACATGGGACTGAATCATAGTGCAAGTTAGACATTATTGTGATGTTCCGGACCTCAGCATGAGGAGATTCTCTCTAACTGGACCTCGTTGAATATTAATTGAATACCCCTGCTCTATAATGTCACCTCATTTCCTCCTTTACTCCAGTCATAATTCCTATGGCCAATAGAGGGCTTAGTCATTACGTACACAGTCTTAACAAAGGTCCCCAGCCAGACACGAACCAGGGACATTACGATAACGTGGCATGCACCTTAGACCACCAGTACACAGGGATGCACGCGATACATTAAAAGTCAGACTTCCCAAAACAGTCAAATGTCTGTATGTGATGAAAAATCTGTGCGCGCACATTTCCAGCTTTCAATATGTGCATGTGCGTGTGTTTGAAGGGTCTTATGAAAGCCGGATAAGGTCACTTAATGTCAGTGAATGCTGTTCTTTGCTCGTCTGTCAGGCTCTGAAGCCTCCAGCAAAACTCAACCAGCCATGAGAACAAGCGTCTCTCTCTCTCTTTGTCTTCTCCTAAATCTCTCTTTGTCTCTCTCTCTGTCTCTGTCTCTCTCTCTCTCTCTCTCTCTCTCTCTCTCTCTCTCTCTCTGTCTTCCTTTAAATCTATGTCTCTCTCTCTCTTTAGTGTACTTTTTTTTCTTTCACCATAACCAACAGACCTCCGTCTTCTCACGCTCATTCTCTTATTTCTTTCTTCCTCTCTCTCAGTTATTATTGCTCCCTCCATTCTCTTCATGAACTCAACCGGCTCAGGTCCCCTCTGGACATATTCTAACAGCAGTCTAGCTGCAGTATTTTCTTTTCATGTCACGGCTCAATTACTTTGAAATTATGGAAATTATTTTCAGCTGCTTCTAAGATTTGATTTAGTTTGCTTGGTGTCCATTATTTCAGGTCAAAATCATAATCTCAGTAGAGTCGTTTGAAGTGAACTCAATCAAATGTGATTTTATTCAAAACTAAGACTCACTGCCAGCAGGAATACGGTATCAAAAGTCTTAATAAAATGAATACATCACTTCTGTATTTTCCTTCCTGTCTTCACTGTCTCTCTGTCTCTTTCTGTGTTTCTTCTTCATGACAGATGTCTCAGAAAGAAGATGAACAGCTGGATGCTGTGAGGCTGCTTATTCACCCTTTCATCTCTTTTTTTTCTCTCCTCTGTCCTTCCCCTCTTTTCTTTCATCTTTGTTTTTCTGTTAAAGCGAACACAGATGAAGACCCAAATTTCCAGCCCCGGAAAAATTGATTTAAAAATTTTGGAATTATAAAATATAAATATAATCCTCCTCTGCTTAGTAAAGTTGTGCATTTCCCTCGCCCAGGAGCAGACAAACACTAATAGCTTGTGAAACAAATAGCTTGTGAGACAAATGCCTCATAAATGCCCCCCCCCCCCCATCCTTAGCTAATTATGGGAGGGTTATTTTTCTTCACCCAGAATCCCCTTATTCCGCTCAAACTCCCCTCATTTTAAATAACCCCCAGCCTCCAATGTGTTGCTGTCTGTCTGTGTGTGTGTGTGTGTGTGTGTGTGTGTGTTTGTGCTTCCAGTGATTGATGATTGTGTGTTCCTGCTGCATATGTGTGAGCATTCATTTGTGCAGTGTGTGTGTGTGTGTGTGTGTGTGTGTGTGAGTGTGTGTGAGATCACCAGAGGCAGTATCTGAATTTCCTCTTAGAAGAACGTTATATAACTTTATAAACCATCACTCTCATGGACACACATATACATACAAAGACTACACACATGTACTTCATCTATAAGCCCCCACAGGAGACACACTCACAGATGGGGACAGGAAACAGACTCATTTGCTCACTCATTATACACAAAAATGATGTCGTGCACTTGATACGTCATGCAGCAAAAGATTTCTCATTTTCAGAGAGCTGGAGGATCGAAGCCATATGTGTATGTCTCTAATCCCACACGCACTGCAGCACCGCATGCTATACCAGGATGTCCTCTCTGTGTCTAATCCGTCCCTGGATTGAGATGATAGTGATAGAGGGATGCATGAGGAGAGGGTTGAAGAATCTATGGAGGAAGAGATGAGAGGGAAATGATAATGGATAGCAGAGGGGAACAAAAGTGCAAGAGCAATCAAAGCTTTTACACGTGGCGACAAAGAGAATGAATGTGATCAGAGAGAACGAGGACATACAAGTTCCTAGAGACAGAGAGACGCAGAGGGAGGATATTGTTGATCAGAAGTGAGTGAATGTTTGGGTATTATGTGATAGATACAGAAACATCTGGCAGAGTCAGTGTTGGCAAGATAACATGTAATGGAGTCATGTTCATCCTTACAACCCTGTCTTTCTCTTTCTCTCTGTATATTCTCTCTCTTCCCCTCTTTACTCCTACTGTACACTTTTTTCCCTTTTGGGAGTAGAAGCTAATAAGACAGCAAGCAGTAGACACACTTTTTAATTATGTAAAGTGTGTTTGATGGACGGAGAGGAAAATAATCAGAGGATAAAAGATCAGAAGCTAGAGAGCTTATTTTTTTTGTTTTTAGAAGGTAACACCTGAACCTTTCGAAGTCACACAGTGACAAATCTCTTTAAAGCAGTCAAGTATTCTGTCCTATTTTTTTGCGAATACACATTAAGTGGTTTCAAGATAAAACACATGTTGGGTGTTAGTTTCTGAAACAGAAAGGAACAGAACTGTGTCTAAATTAAATGTTAAAGCAGATGTTTTCAGCAATGACTCAAACTGAAATTATGATGCACACAAGCAGAGAGACACATGTTCTCTAACCTTTGCATATGCATTCACCCATCCGTACAGATGCATGCTATTCATATTTTTTTTACAAGCGCACACACACACACACACACACACACACACACACACCAATTTGCACACGGCCCCAACGCACACACGCAGATTGGCAGGTGCATGCCATATGTACAACATGTATGCATGTGTGTAAAATACACACGGGAAGCCTAATTTTCGATTGGGCTTCTTGCCGTTTAGTACGTGTCCTCACAGTCCCAGATGTAGATGCCCAAAAGCTGATCATCCTGGTGACTCAGCAGGCTGAGTCGACCGCCATGTGCTCACAAAGCTGTTGGTTCAAATCTGATTTAGGATTTCTGTCACATCATATACCCAGTCATGGCGTCGTTTCAACTGTTTGCTACTGTATTGTTTCCGATAAGGAAGCCCTTTGAGAAAGACATTGTTGCAACTACGATAGATAATAGACAGTTTTCTCCTTCAACTTCAACCCTTATTACACCCAACGGAACAAAAGGACCAACTGCTGTACATCGATCTCTTTACTCTATCAATGTGGAAAAGACGCGCATGCTATTCTGTTAATATCGTCTGAGGAGTGGTCGTTATAGTCTTTTTAAGCAACACCTATTTTTTTTTTACAGTTTCCAACCATATTGCCTGAACATTTGCTTATTGTTCAAAACATATTAGACCAGGAAATGAAATCAGTGATGAAAGCTAGTGCACTGTAAGTCTGTCTGTGTGAGGTAACAAACACCCAGCTCAGCTGTTTCACAGATGAAAGCGTCTCCTGGAGAACTCTCCTGTGTCGCACACACACACGCAACACACTTTTTTTTTCATACAGTTACACGTGTCCATGGTGGGATCTGTCTCTCTCTGTCTGTGTGTGTCTTTCCCTCTCACACACGTACGCTCACAGCAGGATGTCCAAATCTATCTCACACACGTGCTCTCTCACAGTGCACTCTCTCTCTCAGTGTACATTTATTTATTTCATTGACGGTACACTCCCACTGTCTGCCTCTCTCTCCCACATGGAGTTCAGTCTCTCGCTCTCATGAAGCGCTGCTTCCTCCCTCCCTTTTAGATGCACTCAGCCTCAGTCAGAGTGTAGGACAGGGCAGACAGGAACACCACAACTGATCTCTTTCTTCTCGTGCAGCCGGCAGCAGGTACAGCTCTCTTTCTCACTCTATTTGTCTCTTCTTCCTCCACGTTTGTCTGTGTCTTCTTGATATTGGTTAATGCTCTCTCTCTCTCATCTCTTCAAACCCAGCACAAACTACGTAGGCATATCTTTTTTTCTGTTTTTCTAAGCTTATCTTCTAACAAGAACATGTTCAACTACAATGATAAAAAAAGACTGTTTAGTTATTGACTTTTTATCACTACATTTATGTGCGTTTTAGAAGTGACTAACTGAGCTAGAATGGTGGAATGACTTTAAATGACTTGAATAGTGTTTGTGTTTGGTGTTGCAAACATGCGTGACACCCTGCTGCTCCAGATGCAAGACGGATTCTGACATAGTTAACATTTAAGAACACATTTCAGCTGTTGTTCAGACATGTGATTCAGTCAAAACTACCTACAGTGGATGGACTTTCTCTCCACCTAAGGAGAATCTATAATACATCAGGATGTGCATAAGGTGCAGTCGTGTATGAGTTGATGTGACACGGCCAGTCCAGCACTTACTTCTGTAATGTTGTTGTGATGCTTGAGTGTTTCATGATGAACAGTGAAAAGGTCTCTAGTTTCATCAGGTTGACATGGGCATAAGAAATCCTCACTTGCTTTTATTTTGAAAGCACAATTTTGTATTTAGGCTACTTTGCTTATGTTGCCTCTTTGCGTACCCTTTTCATGTTGACTGATTTTGCCTTACTAACTTTATAAAATCACTGTTTCACTGTGTGGGTCCTGAACTGACTGGCTTTATGTGGTCTACTACTATTGCAGCTGCTTTCAGTTTTCTTTATCACTGCCTGGTATGTTGTCAAAATAGCATTCATGTGAGGAGTCACCTTACTTTATCTTTTGATTTTATTAATTGTGATTTTCATGCATATCCATGTCAATGGTTTAAATATATTTTTTAGTTAATTATCGGTGACTATTGCAGTATACAACAAATGAAATGGCGTTTAAATATTTTCCATGTACTGATGCACACACTTTTATTAGTTTTTTTCCTGGTGTGTGTGTGTGTGTGTGTGTGTGTGTCTTTGCAGAATTGTTAGAACAGGATCATTAAATCCTTTCAATCAAGTACAGATAAACATTTAAAAAAGTAACAATTAGTAGATTCAGTGAAACAAGCAGTCGAAGTTAAGTCAGTTCCTTGTGTATCTGTAACTTTAGTCTGAATGAACAGATTGCCGCTGTTGGCCTACTTAGCGCAGTGACTGTCTGTGTGTCTGTCTGTCTGTCTGGAAGTGATATTACATAGTATCTTCATGTATGATGTAGACACGTACTAAAGGCAAAGGTGTGTAACATGTCACTGTCATTCATTTCTTGCAGCTGGTTTTATATTATGAGTCCAGCTGAGAGTCCTTCTCACAAATCATCACTACCACACAGGACAGTTTTTTTAGGTGCACAAAAATGCTGCTAATGGATTGAATTGAAACATTTGAGTTATTCACTTAAGTTATTCGTTTGCCTTTTGGTGCATTTATTCAGAAATAATAGAACATAAGGTTTCTTTAGATGAGAAACCCATGTGTCGTGCTGTTCAATAAGCAAACATTTTCCTGCAGTTTGTTTCAAGATGAAGAACTGGGATGAACAATGAGGCAAAGATGGAAAGAGAAAAACAATAACTGATGCATAAATATTGTAACACCGCCAGTATTTGACAGTGCAATCTGCCAAATCCCCATATTGATATGCTCTGCTCTGACCAGCCCGGTCTCAATTCCAACTCGTCAAATTGGTCGGTGCGCCTTGGCGTCTGACACCGATGCACTGGGCTGTGAACTAACTACAATGTGAAGCCACCAGCGTCATTATTACGATCAGAGCAACTGAGTAGTATAAAAAGAAAGATTTTCCACACAGGGCGAGTGGGAGGGGAGGAGGATGGGTCAAACAAACACAGGACTTTCCCCCAGGAGACCTCTGTTTGAGGTCCGACAAAACCTAAAGTAAACGTCGACATTTCGTCACGTCAGTCGTCAGTCACTTGGTAGTGACGTGAGTTGTTAGTCAGTCAAGTTAACATGAACCATGAACATTTTTTTATTCACTCTGTCACAGTAAAAGACCTGTTTCCACTGTCCTACCGAACGCCTCATATTAAGAAGTCCCCTTATCGCTTCAGCTTTTAGATTCTCCTGCTCAGACATGTTGTGCGGCGTAAGACGATCAGTTTTTAAAGATTCTGCTCAGTCATGACAAATGTTAGTCACATTTAGTTTTAGCAGAATATGCAGATTTAAAGTTGTGAGCCTAACATCACCAGTGCATATAATCAATTATCTGACCAATTCCTACTGAAGGTAGTGGAAAGGTTGAAAGTTACAACATGTTCCATACCAAGAACCCACTTAAATTGACTCTTTTAGTTGACCACGCAGAGTTGCAGCGTGCAGTAGGTATTTAGCTCTTTGACTTTAGACCGTGTGGCTCTAAAAACAAACTCATTTTATCTTTGGGTTGTTTGTCTTCCAGGCGTGTGGTGTAATAAATCTTTCACATGCTCATGCTCACTGCTGTTTTTGTCGATGACCTTTCTGTGCTGTTTAACTCCCAGAATGAGACACAGCTTGTAGGCAGAGGCTTTTTTTTAATGAGGAGGTGAACAAGTTCAGTGCTCCCTTGGCTAGAAAAGGTCTTGTGCCCAGGTTGCGATTGTGACCATATTATTGAAAAGTCAGTTGCATGTTTGAATGCTTCTTACCAACCATCATGAAAACAGCAACATTTTCTCCTGTGCCTTTCCTTCACTCATGAGAAAGCCTTGGAGGCAGTTAATTAAATATACATATTAAGTGGCTGATGTGAGATGTTTTATTATAAATTATGTTTTCATATATTAACTGTTGCAACATTTTAGACTGAAGACATTTCATTCACAAACGGTGGCTGTGTGTTTTACGGGATGGGATGAGACAGTTGTGCATGAATAATGAGGCAAAAAGGAAATTTATTTGGGATTTAATATAATTCTATCCCAGAATAAGTTCATCTCTGTATCAATATTATATGTTGAAGTCACTCACTGGAGTTTTGATCTCATCTGTCCTTTTTGATCCCAGTCAATTCTCCTCAAGTTGCCATGTTTTTTGTATGTTGTTTGTTACTTTGTCCTTATTGGAACTGTTTTAGGAGTGTATTGTTGTCCACCTGCACATGTAGAATATATGGAGAGCTGGTTTTGTCTCTCTAACTTGCCGACAAACTCGTACAGTAAATCATGTGCACCTCAGCCGCTGTAAAGACAATCTGATTTGGCCAGCCTTTCTACCAGACCTTTGAACCATGCATCAGTAGCCAAGTGATGTCAGATAACTTCATGTCATGCCCCCAGTGATTCTTTGTTGACCCCTCACTCAAAATGGCTCTGTAGGAAAGTATTAAAATTCCTCTGTCCCCCTGTGAAGACATAATCTAATGACGATAATAAGCACTAACTGAGCTTTAACACTGGATGTGTGATGATAGGTTTCCTTTGTAATTGTCAGTGATGACAAAAGTGAAATTTATTTTACTCCCCTCAATATGAAGGCTTTTCACAGGGAGAAATTGCCCCTAAGTCACATCTGTAGTGAGATGTGTGGATGAGGACACAGTAGAAGCCTGAGAAGCATTTGGGATCAAACTGAACCTGATGCTTGTAGTAGCATCCTAGCGCCACACTGGAATAAAAAACAAATTGATTTACAATCACAGGGGTTTGACCTCAGCTAATGATGCAGAGACTCCGTTCATCGACTTAATGAATGAGTATTGATGATTATTCTTTATACATTTGGCACCATCTCTCTCTACTCAGGTGTGCTCTGCTTTGTGTTCTTTTGGAGAAATGCTGAGGAGCAAAGACCAAGCTGTGGTATTTGATGCATTGGGAGTGATAACTGGTTGAAGTAAGATTTGGGTGAACTGAGCCTTTAATTATAGTTTTTTGTTTTTGTTTTTATATTGATAGAATCTCAGCCTCCCCATTGAATTGACACTTAAAAAAATGTACATTTTGGTTTACTTGTATCCGATTGCCTGGTCATATCAAACATCTTCATCGTCAAAACTAAAAATACCCCACAACCGGTTATAAGAGGATGTTTCCAATGCAATGTGAGACTTTATGTCTATTTCTCACATCTAAAAGCACTCACAAAACAGTGCTTTTATATGCGACAACACCCACAAGTTAAAGGGTCAAAATCACTTGAACCTTTCAGCTTAAATTATTAATGCTCACTGAGCTGTCTGTTAGTGTCAGGCTGTTCAGTCTGTGGTTTGAGTATCAAACAGCACGTCTGCTTGCCTTTTTTGCGGTGTGTCGTAAGCTTGTAAAGTTACAGTCGATTAAGTTCACACACCTGAGTTCACACACCTGAGTTCACCAACTGCACGTCTGTAACGCAGGTGTCACACTTCCAGAATAAAGAGCTAGAGGTAGCTTTTATTGTGTGTGTGTATGTGTGACAAAAAGCAATGAAAACAGGTAGTGTGTTTACTTCTTCTTCTGAAGACATAGACATTTTAGGTTATTAATTGCCAGAGATAGCTCCCTTTAAACTGATGGAGTGTCTTTCCTGTCTTGATGACCGGATGCTGTGGAAGTCCCCCAGAGACAAACTCATCCAGCTGAGATAAAATTAGGATTCATCATCTCGCTTGCTCCTTTTTTTTTTTTGCCTTTCTCTTTCTTCCTGTGTGTGTGTGTGTGTGTGTGTGTGTGTGTGTGTGTGTGTGTGTGTGTGTGTGTGTGTGTGTGTGTGTGCTATTCAGTTTATGTGAAGCATGTTTCAGACTTTAATCCCTCTGAGAATTAATTCCTTTGAGATGCCCATTCCTCTTCCCTGTACAGTGAAGCTGTCCTGAGACCAGGCACAGCTGTCGGTTTGACCTCTTGAACAGAACATGTTATTGTTCAGCCACGCTGTGCTTGTCATTGTAAGATTCATTTAAGGCTGAATGCATCTCCTTTTTAGGCTTTTTGAGACAAAGAATTAAAATGCCACTGCATTCAGAAAGGGATGGAAATCAGATCTTAATCAGAACTCATGATCCAATCTGCTAATCAATTCTTTATGTTGAATACAGTGTCATGCTACCATTTGCACCAAACACATTTCACAATATGAGTTTAAAAGCTGGTTGTGTGGTTTATTTATTGTTAGTTATATTCTTGTGTCGTGGTTTAGTGAACTAAATGAAAATTAACTGAGAAAATGAAATGAAAAAATGATAGTCAACCTCAGTACTAACAAGATGTCTGCTGTTGTCATGTGTCATTCTTGGAAAATTAACATCTGTGTGTTTAAAGCAATGTTTTAACGGTTGTTTGTATATTTAATATATTAATATCAATGATATATTTGTTTCATCCTAATTAAAATAATATTTGAACAACTTTCTTACTTTCTCTCATGGAAACACAACTTCTACTCTAATATGCTCTCGCTTTCTTGCGGAGAAAGTTTAATCCAAATCATTGGACTGGAACGTTGATTTCAGCCCAGTGAATGTTTTTGAACTTCCCTCAGACTTCGTCCAACAATACTGATTGAATTAAATCTTCACAGACTTTAATCTGAATTCCTCCCTCTATCTCGTCCTTTCCTTCGTCCCCCTCCGTCTCTCTCCTGACAGCATTTCCCGGCTGTGAGCGGGGCCTTCATGGATTCTCCGTACAATGGCAACACGTCCCTGCAGACGTCCACCTCCAACCTCAACGCCGGCTACTCTCGACCCTCAGAGACAGAGGATGATGGGAAAGTGTCCAGTGACACCATTTGGTTGTGGATCGCTGTGCTTGCAACCATTGGCAACATAGTGGTGGTGGCTGTGGTTTGCGCCTGTGCCTTCTGACAAGATGGAAGAGAGGAGCAAACAATACTGCTGCCGTCTGATTATGGGAAATCTTGTATATCCTGGAAATATGTTTTTCTTCAGATATGTAAAATAGCCTCAATTTTAGATTAGATTCTTTTTAAGTCTTAATTAAAAGGGAATTTGCATTAGACTATTATTTATTTTTTCAACAGACTGAAATTTTGATCTGATGGAGAAATATCTTTCTTTTCATATAACTTTTTCTCCTGTTCAGTACTACAATTAAACAATATTAAATGAAAAGCCACAACAATTAAGGTTGAACAGGTTCTACAATGGCTACTGAAGCAGATCTTACTTTAAATACTAAGTAACAACCACACACACAGAGACAGACATGTATATACTGTGTGGCACATTCTATCTGACTAACCAGAACAAAAGGTACCCAGCACACATTTGGATAAACCAAATCAAGTCGACAGATTTACAGAAAGTTTAAAGACAATCCTGCCATATTATTTTGAGTTACTGGAGATGCCTTGCTTAAGGAGAGCTTTGTTAATTCACTCAACCCATTGAGATTTTCTCTGCTTGTCAGCTACCAGCAACCTTCAATAGCTATAGTCTGAAATTATAAGGAGTCACCATAGCTTATCAATAGCTTTACAGTAACATTACATTAACAGGTTTCCTAATTCATCCATTTTTTTTTGCGCAAACCAGATATTTCATCTGGATAAACAGTCAAAACCCAAAAAAAACATAATGACAATATGTGTGTTTTAATCACCGGCAAAGTAAACGGTTCCAATCAGATAAACTTGTCTTCAGGTTTGCCCTTCACATGGGTTGAGACTCTAATTTGGTCACAGGGATGTTTATTTTAGCCTCCATGTGAACACAATATTAACATTTGTTTAATGAGCATCAGTCCCAGAGCAAAATACTAAATTTATTCATTTTGGATTCCAGGCTTAACGTAATAGCACTATACTTGGCTGGTCAGTTGCTTTTGCAAGCCGAGCTGGTGTTATATAAACCCATTGAGTCCTGGTCACACCACCGGCTCAGCAGAGGTCAGGAGGATTAGACAAGAAGATCATAGCTTGATCTCTCAGTGGGATCTGAAGCCAGAAGAAGATTGCCTGTTGAAGCTTGTAATTATGTGTGTGATTGTGTGATTTAGTAGTTAGAGAGGCCAGAGGGTTGCGCCCTGTAACGTCTTTACGATGCTCGACCAAAGCACTCAACGCCAACCTGTATTGTCTATGCTATTCTTACTTAGTCACTGTTGCTCAGCAGTCAATGACAAGAATGATAGATTTACTACTTTAAATGCTTAGTGATTTGTTTAAAAATTGGACCTCCGCTGTGGCTAGCCAACACGTGTAGCTCGTTTTAGAAAAGCGACTCCTGTAAAAGGGTTTTAAATATCTACTTGATCGCTACGATGTTGTGCTAAAAGTCTGAGGCTAAAGCTGTCGCCTACGTCACAAGACCCGAGTTGCTCCAAAAGTCAGAATCCTGATGGAGATCATGGAAATAGAGAAAGTGAACGGTAAATTACGCTGATCTCATGCCGTGACTAAAGCTTATTTTTTCATTTCCATGTAGTTGATAGTTCCTTCTAGTGTCCGCAAACATCCACACTGATAGCCATTTTAAAAACTCCAGTTCATCTGACACGCATGTCTTGCATTTGAAGAAACTGTAGCGCCCTTAAAAAGCCCAGAGGAAACAAACTCCATTTAGAAAGGAGCCGGACTCAGTGGTGACTGAGCAGTGATTTGTTGACATTTAACAAGCAAGGCCACACAAGGGAATCTCTTTCTGTCCGGGTTACTCTACCCCATTATAAGGATAAATGCATCATTAAAGGAGCAGAGCCATTCACTTTCATCTCTTCAAATCACTCTGATTGTTAGTGAGGGAATGAAATCTCTTTAAGCTGGTAGGGAAAAGCCAAGGGTGGGTGATGAAAAGGCAGAGAGAGGACATGGAGCTACAGAATGAGTAACAGGAGGTCAGAGGAGGTCAACAAGTAACGGGAACAAACTTAAAACTGGACAGTAGGAGAAGAATCAAATACCACCTTTGTCCATCAACGCATTGTAAACTCTTGTCTGTCTGCAGTTTGGCGCAAGGCGGGTACAGTGGATTTTTGGCTTTCTGCCGTTAATGATGCTGATGAGACTGAACCAAAACAGTGAAGTTGTGGTCCAAAAAACCAGAACAACAGGCTGAAAGACGCTTCAAAGTGGAACTGCAGAGTGATAATTCTATTTGGGTTCATCATTATGAGCGACCCCTTGCACATACAAGTAGTATGCTGATTCATAGAGAAAACATTCATAGTAGATGCTTTAATTTAACAATATTTCCCGACCCTAGGACTTTTGGGCCTTAACTGAACCAAGCTCTAACAACGGCGGTGTGAAATAGCTGTTTTAGAGGCACTGACAAATCATTTAGTGTTGTTGCATTCACTGTGTTGTCTCAAATTTCATTTATTATGTAGTTTTAACGCAGTCTAGTCAGAACCAATCATGCAGTCAGTGTCTTCTACTACATGTGTGTTTATACATATACTGTACATGTGTTTGCACTATCTCAGCCTGTGAAAGTCGCGTCATCGTCCTGTCAGTCCTCGGTAGAGTAATGAGCTTACTATCTGTTTTTTTTTCTTCCTTTTACCCATCCCTCGCTTGTTATTCCAGAGGGAAGTGTGTTCTCGGCGGCCATTAGAGCGGTCAGAGCAAATCGTATCTCTGTGGTTGACTTTATTAGATAATTTTACAGACAGAATAGAGCCAACTTCAGCCGTCGGAGACGTAAATATATTCTAAAGGAGCGGTCGTAGATAGAATTTGTAACATTAGTCATCTGAGATATAGACTGGCAATGACTACACGTGAGGTAAAAAGGGAAGATGTGGGAGATGGAGGAAAGTGCTCATTGTCATTTCCGCCATTCGTGCATTCCCTTATGAAAGCTGTCAGGGAAAGGGTCATTGTATAAGAGTGGGATTGAGGAAACGAGGGGAAAGGAGAGACAATAGTTGGAGACAGGACAGAGGTAGTGTTAGGACCAAACAACTACCAATCTCAAACCAGAAGTTTAAATGCTAAAGCCTTTTTCATTTTTAATTTAATTTAGCCATATTTCAATACTATAACAAACAACAGAGAACACAACCATACAGTACTTTTCCACAATATTCAGACAGCAGACAGAGTATGTTTGTGTTCCTCGTGTGGTCGGTTGAAGATCACCCCATACAGTTTACGCTAACCAAATCCCTCGCCGTCCAATCAGCTGCCAGATTCGGAGGAGGCATGGACCTACAGTATCAGCCAATTCGATACCATCAATGTGTTTCTGCCAAGTGACCTCAAGCGACTCAGCGGACTCCACAAAGAAGAAAGCATGCAAACATGAGCATCACGTTACTATGAAATGGTGATCTACAACACCCTCCAACCAGACCGCTTCTTTCATCTTGTTACTGCTGACACAACCTGCCTGCTTCACATAGAAATATAGGATCTCCAGAAGCCTACCAACCCAGAAACCCCAGCTGCTCAACCATCCAAGCATCCGGAGGTGAGAATTAAAGTACAGTAGTTGGTGCAGCAACCTGATGGAGGCCTTTGCTTTTAGTAGGAACATCTGCTGTGTGTTTTTCATGCTCATTTTTTTTTCTCCTCTTGAAAAGAACAGCTCGTTAGCCGTATTACTGTAACATCACTCATCGAAAGTGACGAGCCAGTCTGCAGCAAACATTAGTCACCAAGTGCCTTTCTGCTTAAAATCAAAAGAGTTTTTACTCAACTAAGAGATCATCCTCCCCCGGGGAAGATTTTAGTTATTGCATTAAATACATGAGACACTCTGAAAGTAAATAAAGGAGACAATCACGCGGGAAATGACAAAACACACTTGTGTTGATTTTAAAGGGTGAATGATTAACAAACCGTAGAATGCAATTTGTGTGAACTGAGTGGTATGAATTGAGACATTGCATATTAAATCTTTTAAATAGTAAACGGGTCCTTAGTGCACAGTAATATTTTTAGAACTAAGTGAAACTTTTTGCTTTGGTTCACGCAAAAGAGAAGGTATCTTGCTAAATATACCGACTGCATTGATACTGTCTGCCCCCATGCAGTGCCATAGGTAAAAAAAAATCCTCCACACTGGATATGAACCCAAGATGGCAGTATAACAAACTAAATGATCCAGCAAACTGAACTGACAGAGGATCTGAGCAGTTCATCTCTGCTCCCCTCAGAGTCTGACCCTGAACACATCAATGCATCTGAGTTTGTTTCACAGCTTCATCCTGGATCAGTTTGTTGGATTAAAAGTCGTCAAGTTTTTCAGTTTTTTGCCTTCTTTGATGAATCACTGTGGTCTGATTTTCTGTTGTGTCACGTTGAACTATTCCTTCCATCTCGGTCATCTCACACACCCCTGTCATGCGTGTGAGGCCCCAGACCGTGAATCCACATTGTGATGCCCCTCCTCTGTACAAAAGACACACACACACACACACACACACACTGTCCTCACGAGACCTCTGACTTGGTCAATCTCTCATCTCTTCTTCCTCCATCTGTCTTGTGTCTTACTTTATTTCTAACAAGTTCTCACTCCCGACTTGTCAAATACGGCAGCTTGATGAGTGGCCCTTTGCTTCAAACAACGTATCCTCATACATCGGATTGTATGATACGTTACGAAAAAGTTGCTCCTCCATTTTTCGTGCATTTTCCTACGAAAGCCAGCAACACCTGTCAATTTTCCGCTCATTACATAAATTCAGTCTTTTCAAAGTAAACTTCCGTCCTCACAGTAAACAAGTTAGTTGGGTTTAGGAAACAAAACTAATTGGTTAGGTTTGCGAAAAGATTGTCGTTTGAGTTAAAATAACTACGGGAGTGCTGTTACTCAAGTCTGCAAGTTATGTGACAAATAATTGAACTTCTCATATGAGATGAAGAACAAACAGTGGTCTCCTGGATGAAAGATGTTTGTTGGACCATCCACCTCAGCTCTCACCTGCCCTGCGTGTGCTTCTGCGGTCTTTTTACTTCCTTGTTCATGAATCTGTGGATAAAATACAAATTACGTTAATGGGATACGGATTGCGGCACATTCTTTTTTGTAGGGAAAGCTACGAATGCTGGATGAGACCAGCCTGCTTGAAATAAGTCAACGTTGACCTTTGCTTTTCAGGACACAAACACCGGTCCCCTGGTTGAAAGTTGTGTGTTTTTAGACTCAACTATCCACCCTGTCCTCCTGCCTGTGGGACTAAACCGCTCTTTATACTACTAAACCTGACTTCCTCCTTTACTCTGCCATAACGTGGCCATAAAGCCTCATAGCTTGCCACGTCTGGCCAGTGACCAAGCTTCCATATTTTACGAGTTTGTGTGAGAACGGGCTACCATTTCCTCATTGGACAATTATGTAACTCATAATCAGTACTGTAATCAGGTGGCAGGTCAGAAAGCAACGTAGGGTTTACTAATATGCAGACATGCAGGTGATTTCTTAAAATGATTAATTTATATATATTTTTTATATGCTGTAACATTATGGAGTTTGAAATGACCTGTGAAATAGAAAACTTATTGGACCATGACGATAGAGAGCATAAAGATTTGCAATTTCCACAAGAGCGGCAATAGCTTAAAAACTGAATCATAAAACTTTGGCGGCAAATGTCTTTTAACATTTGGACTTTTGCTTTGAAAGAAATTTACTGAATCTTTTTATTCTGCACGCTTTCTGCCTCTTTAGAGATCCCCATCATCGACCTTCAGAGAAGACAGACTGAAAACAGCTTGCAGGTGACAACCAGACTGGTCTGTCTGCCACAAAACAAACTGAGAGACGACATTGTGGCTCTGACTTAGTGCTGATCCGCCTGTCTGGATTCTAAGAAAGAAGTGCACCTGGAGATATACAGCGGTGTCAGGATGACTATGTTCTACATCATCACGGAGAATGGATTTGCATGAAGGGGGACTCTATCCCGAGGACGATGTGTAAAAACTGCGGTGTGGTGACTTACTGATCTTTGCCAGACGAGAAGCCAAATTAACACTGAAACGTAACAACAGCCCAACATGGCAAATGTCTCATAAAGGTTGTACTTGGCTACAGGTCCATAGCGCACTCTCGCTCAACAGCCCTGATGACAAGGAGCAGTTGGAAGACTCCTTTCCTCCCCAAACATCTGATACCAGAGTGGTACAGAGTTACATATTTGCTTAGATAGTTTGATCTCGATAATCATGGTATTTGGGGATTGTAGCTGAAGATTTCTCACCGTTCAAATGAAGTCCACTTTCACTTTTTGGAGAAGACACTAAAAGAAGGTGGACTGAATGGATATAAGTGATGATTTCTTGTGTGGACGACATGGGACTTGAGGAAAAATACTGTCGTACAGATAAGACATTCTAACTGTGATTCAACCTTCAATGCAAAACTTCTCTTAAAAGTAATAAGATAACAAAATAGTGTAGCCATGAAACTCGCTGAGGACTGGATGATGTATTTATGACATGGATTGCTTTGGAGGCTTCATTGTGACAAGTAAAGCCAAAATGTTCAAAGTGAGAAAGACGTTCTACAGATGTTTTCACAAAAAAGTGTTATAAAGTACATACGTATTGTGCATACACTCACTAACACAGACAGGTAAGTGCAGACAATATGAGGAAATGATCACTCTGCAAATATGAGTCGGAAACGGTATGACTGTAAACATCTGCAGGACCGTATAGACGGAGAAAAACAAGAATAGCTCAATGTTAAATGTGAAGATGCTACCATTGTAGCATTATGCGTACCTCACTGAACATGCATGGCTACCAGCAGATTTCTCTCTTCCCCATTACTGTCCTCCTTGATGGAGTAAAGTGTTTGCCTCTTCACGAGTACCCGTCAGTCATTTGCACTTCTGTAAAACAAATAACATCTGTGGTTTATTAGTTAATATATGATTGTGTGTTGGGGTTTGGCTTGACATTTTAATCTAGATTTCCATAAAGTTTTTATTTTTTGTATATATGTTTTAAGTTATATCTGAGGAATTCCTCTGTTGTACATTTTCAATCACGCCATGACAGTTCCTCATCTTCAAAGGAAGCTTTGACCTTTTTACTTTTGACTTCTGTAATATAACTTCAATAAATTGATAAGAATGTGAGATGTTTGTCCGTCCCATCGGGTTTGTTTATAAATGCTTGTTACATCCAGCTTTTACTTGATTACAACAAAGGCCAGTACAATTGTTGAAGACAGAATGGGGATTAATTAGCGCTCATACATTTCACTTTATTAGGGACACATTCCTATAATTGGTCTTCTAATGTGTATGTATGAAATGATGTGTTCAGAGTGGTTGGTCTTGATTTCTACCAGTGAATGTGAAATGACAGGACTTCCTCCTGACGCTGACTAAATGTTAATTAATGGTGATATGGCTTCATCTTTAAGTATCTTTTTCCGACTTAATATGATCACAGGTTATCCTGTTTAATCGAATGACTGCACCTCCATTAAAGGAAGGTTAGAAGAAGTGTCATTCTCCTGCAATAGTATTGCATCATCTTAATCAGAAATGAAAAAAATACATTCATAGCTCAAAACTTTTGTGATGAAACTTTTGTATTCTGTATTTTGTTAAAGCAGAGTAACAGAGCAGTAAAAAATGAAAACTAAAGTGAGTTGAGTGTTTGCCTTGACCAGCCTGGTAAAGAGAACTCCAAGAAACGTTTCTTTAGACAAAAGATATCTAGACCTTGAAGAGAGGATCACATGTCTTCACGAAGACCAAATATGTCAAGTTATCACTGGAAAACAGTGAAGATGTCTCTTGCCAATAGAGTAAACCAATGTGATGGCCTTCATTTAAAGTGCAAATCTTGAACAAAAGCCAAGGCTTCATCTGCTGGAAGGCAAATAACAAACTGTTTTGGCTGCATAGTGACAAAAACAGTGATCAGTGGCCTCTTTGGCAGTACATTTAATCCAGCACGAGGGCCCTGCCAGGAAAGTAGGAAGGGATTAATGAATGATAAACAAAGACAATGACCGATGAGCCAGACTGTTGTGGTTGAATTATTTGGTATGAATAACTCCTCACTTCTGAGAGCAGGACTGCCTGACTTAACAGACTTCTCTGTGAGATGAACAAGATGTTACCAAGAAGCCATACACAAGATTTATTCGATTAGAATTTACAGTTTCCACAGTTTTCTGCATTGGATGACACCACTGAACACATTTCCAGCTGAAATGATATACTTTGAGGCCAAAAAGTAAGCAGTTAGAGAAGTACATTTTATAATGAAAGAAGACCATGTGCAATTGTAAAAAAAAAATCATTGACCAATAATGTGCGCAGGATGTTACAATTATCTGTAAACACATGTTGGATGACTTGCTTAGAGTTAACTTTGCATTGAAGATGTTAATGAAATGCCCTTTTAAATAGTATAATAAACTGAGCTATGCCTATTTTTAGAGGATAAAAAACATCTGTTATCAAGAGATCTGATGTCTTTGTCTTCTTGTGCGTCTTGCACACACACACACACACACACACACACACACACACACACACACACACCATTGTTTTTATTGAATAGCTGTACCAGTCAGGCACAAAGATGTCTATATATGGTGTGAGAAGGAAAGAGTAAATGATGTAAACTTGGCTCTCTAATTCTCAGTTTTTCTTGGCAAAATGGCACTTTGGTTTTACTGTCACTTCACCAGCCAGATTGTCTGAGAGGAAAGTGAAGTCTGTGCACGAGTAAACACTGCAGCAGGAGATGAGGTGGTCAGTCTTGATGGTAAAACAGTGCAGTCAACTTTCCCTTCTTAGACCAACATTACTAGCTTGGTAAGCCATTGAAGAGGAATCACAACAAGGGGGCAACAGTCTTGTATTTGGTAAGTAAGGGTCCTCTACTTCCTGCATTACACTGATAATCCACAAGAGGGAAGTTGAGGTGCCAGACAGGTTCGTCAGGTAAAGCCACGACAGTGTGTGGCTGGTATTGTTTTCACCTCAGGGTCTGTGTGTGAGTCATCAAGTGCACAATGTGGTGGTGGAGAACCCTACTGTAGCAGGATTTTGTTTACATGATAGCATCACAACAAGGTTCAATCACGAAATGTTACAGGTGTGTAGTTGAGATCAAAATGAATCTCAACTACGAGTTTGAAGATGGGTGTAGTCCAAAGTTGGGAAGGGTGCTAAAAGTAGGGGGGTAGGAAGCAGAGAAGGGGTCATTGGTGTGATCCCATTGAAAGATGGTCTCAAGTTGCTCTTGTTGATGATGTTGAGGTCTCAGAAACTTGTGTATCAAATATAATACAAATGGCGTAATAGGGTTAATAGTTGTGACAGACTGCAACTAGATTATGTACTGAGACAATGAAAGTGTGTACTTGTGAGTGTGTCATAACTAACTGTCCTTGGGTTGACCAGAGAATGACCTCGAGAGTTGCAGCAACAACTGCTAACTTTGTGTGTGTGTAGGAGAATAAAACAAAGATAGAGACACAAAGTCTGAGAGTCAGTGTGCTTGGTTGCCTTGGGGTTTGTGTGTGTGTGTGTTTTTGTGTGTGTGTGTGTGTGTGTGTGTGTGTGTGTGTGCATGCATGCATCTTTTCCAGTCCAGACTGAATCACTGACTCAGTCATTCTAAAGATTAGCACATTTTACAAGTATAAACACTGTTTGCAGGAAACGCTTTTTAGTTGTTACGTGGCACAAGTCGGATCAAGTCTCAGCAGATCTGATCCTCTCATGGCTTCATAAGTTTGAAGACTTTCAGTTTTGGATGTAAAGCCCCAACAAATCTAGATACTCATTAAAGCTGTGGTTAATTATGATATACTGATATTTTGAACCAGGAAGATCATTTTCTGAGATACCATGTGTGATTAACTTAAACAACTTGAACTTAAACAACATCATTGTGCGTTGAAATACCAAAAGACCTGATGTTTTTGGTATATTTGTCTATTATCCTAATCAGATGAGATCAAAAAGTGTCGACTCATCAACACTTTGTCATGTTAATCTATTAGACCTGTGATGAACCATGAAGTTACACAACGTGATAAAGTGCCCATCGATCTATTTAATAGGGAACGTCTGGCTGTAGATTATGTTTCTATTCAGGAGTGCAGAGTGATAACGTGTCTGACCGACAGATGGGAGTCACTCTCTGATCTGAAAGGTGGCTGGGCAATAATGAGACACAGATGGTAGCAGTATGCCTACACACACACACACACACACACACACACACTACACAAACCAAATGCAAGTACACACACTGCTCATCCTTTAGTCTACAATATGCTCAATAGAATTTCACATTTCATTAACATTTTGTAAAAGACGTGGTTCAGTTGGAACCTGTTTTTAAGAAGATATGAAAGGAAATTTCATTTACATGCAGATACTGTAGAAGCTGCCTCAGCAGTCAAAACCACACAAATGAGCAGAAAAAAAGAATTAAATGGCTATTTGATGGCCACATGTCATATTCTTTAAACTAAATTTGCACACTCCATCCTCTTCATTTTATACACTGTAAGCGCTTTTCATTTTTAAACATATATTTTACTTATTTTTATTGTAAGTTTCTACATATTTAAGATGGTTAACAAGCAGTCTTGTGACTGCAATGCTCCAAAAAAAACCCTACTTGTCAATAAACCTGATTTTGATTTACGCCAGTGTTAATAACAAATATTGATTATAGTCACATTAGACAAAATTAAAATATACAAATCTGGCCTATAAGAGCACAACCATGTGAAACAGGACATCAGTTGATACAGCGCTTTAACTTATTTGTTCGACTGGTTTCTGTGCTGGTTCAGGAGGAAGTTAATGCAGCTAGAAGCAATATATTAAGATGCAAATGTTGGCTTTGTTCTTCAACAAAAGATTTGGATTTTTGCCTGTAGAATCCATTGGTCTCTACTTGCATCACACGTCCTGATTCATCTGACCACACACACACACGCACACACACACACACACACACACACCAGTGAGTCTGTCTGGAAATGGGAGAGACAGAGAGGAGGTCTGGGAATGCTGAAGGGGGGAGAGCCGAGAGAGAGGAGAGGTGGAAAGTTGCAACTTCAGGGCAATATAGACCACATGCTGTGGGAAGGAATGCACGTGTCTTTGTCGGAGAGTGAAAGAGCAAATGAAAAGAGGAGGAGGAGGAAAGAAGCGAGGAGGGAGGGATCTAGGCTAAGTTCTGCAGCGTGGCTCTGTGTCTGAATGAAAGAAGCCCTCTCTCCCACTCTCTCCTGCAGTCCCTATGTATACGGCTCATGTCTGCTGCAGCAAGTGAGCACATGTCCAGAGCAAACACAGCCAGACTCTCTAAGTGACTTCAAGCTGGAAGTAAATATTTTTGCAGAAACTTCGGCTGAAGGGGCAACTGAAATTTTTTTTCGCTGCTGGAATACTTCTAAGCAATGTGACTGCTTTTCTGAGCATTCATAAAATTACTTTTTAGAAATTACCATGTGATGGACGTTGGAAGACTTGGACACTCTTTCAAGAAATTGTGTTGTGATCCACAGGTATGCCAATACTACTACAGTAACAAGGACTCTCTCCACGTCATCAGGACTTTGGGACATTGGTTCTGCCAACCTCAACACACCACCCGGACAGCTGCACTGCAGATCTTCTAACCATCAAAAGAATTCTCTGGACCTGCTAGACCTTACTTAAACCTTATTTACACACATCTCGAGGGCAGCTTGCCAAAAAAGCTTGATGTCTGGGTTTTGAGCGCTTTGCCTGTCTCTGGCCAACTTGCAGGCAGGTGTGATGCTGAGTCAGTGTGTTTGATACACACATTCACACGCTTTGTCTGAAACAGCAGAGATCATGCCAGACATCCAATACTCCAAACTTTAAGAAAAGCTAACTTTGAGTCTCACACCTGTGCTTGACAGATGTTGATGGAGATGTCCCATTTGCATTGTCCAACAACAAGGCTTCCCTCTTCTCACACATTACAGTGACACATCACATCCAAGCTGCTTTGAGCCGATATCCTGAACTGACAGACAGCATTATTCACATCATGACCCTACAGACCTTTAACTTGCAGCACGTCCTTGTCCCTCACCTCCTTCTCCTTGTCCTGCTGCTGCTCCTCCAGGCCTGGCGGGGGTGCTGTCACCCCCAGTGTTTGGACTACAAGCCTCCGTTTGAGCCGCGGCAGCCACTGGCTTTCTGTAAGGACTATTCAAAGTTTGGATGCTGTGATCTGGAAAAAGATGATGAGATATCAGTCAAGTTCTACACCATCATGGACAACTTTGACCATTCAGGTTATATGGCGTGCGCCCATTACATACGCAGCATCCTCTGCCAGGTAAGCGAAACATTCAATTATTTCAAAAATAATTATCATATGTGATTATGTGTCCATCCTCTCCTCTTCCTGGGCATCCAGATGTTCAAGGGAGGGATATTATTTGTTATTAATTGCATTTGAGTATGTGACTGAATCCATGCCTTTGTACTGGAAACATACACCATGTCTCTAAAGTCATTTTCACAGTGTAATCCACATTAATCCAGCAATGTGCAGTGACTATATCAGTCCCACATTTTGTGAATCTAAATATAATTCTAAGAATGCGGATGTTTGCAGTCCCATCTCGTGAAACCGGGTGTTGGTGTCCAAGGTATTACACCACAATGTCCTGAAGAATAGCACAGTGTGCATTTTTGAGCAGTTTGTTTCAATTAGTTTATTCCTCTGGTTTGGTTACAATGATGTCATTTACATTTCAGTGGGAAGCAAATAACCACACAAAGCCCGTCTGAAAACACACTCTGAAGGAAACTGATGTGTGGTTCATCAGTAAGAATCCGATCTCAGCGATGTACCGACTTAACATCTGGTTTATTGGCTACATGGGAAGGGTGACATCTGTAAACCGGCACTTACTCGTGCTTGGAGAGCTTGACCGCAGTCTTAACTATTGTTCATTTTAATGGGTTTGCTTGTAATTGCGCTGTGGGAACCTAAACAAGCCAAATAATATAGTGCAATAAAGCAGCCTTTTCAACTCTGGTTTAGAATAAAGAACATGAACTCAGCATTTGATTTCAACATTACAACTAAACACAGAAGAAATTATTTTTAGCCAAAACACAGTGCCAGATATGCGATAAGAAAATGTTGCACTACACAAAAGGATGGACATGAAATTGTTAAACAACGACCTGAAAGAACTCACTGGCTTACAATTTCACATGTGGGCAATGTATGCAGTAAATCCACAAAGAGCTACAGTATATGCTTCATCCCTTCCAGATTCCCAGAAAACCTTTTTTAGTATTTTCTCTCACACGAGAGGCAGACAGAGACATAAGTTAGAGGAACTCCAGACTCCAGAAGCAGAATGACAGCACAATTTAGCAACACATTTACTCTTTGGAAATCCCACTAATTACGTGTTATAGGTTTAACTACATGATCAGAAGATCTGGAAGAATTTGAATGTTTTTGGCTTCTAAAATCAAGCATATCCAGTCTTTCTGTTTTACCCTAAGTTGTGGTTTGGAGACTGAAATATCCTTAATTCTATAGAAATATCAATTATGAATGCACATTCTGTGCAAGGAAACCACTCTGAATTAGTTAAAAAAAGTTAGTTTCTTAGCATAACAACACAAAAACGTCTTACTTTTAGAGTGCTTGCATTCCTTTTAAAAGCAATCACTCGTACTTTAGCCAAACAAAACTTTCTTCAGTTAAGTGTTACAGTGATCATTGTACCAGTGAAGCAGAAGAATCACAATACTGCAAATCCCTCCGAGTGGGATTGTGGTCTTTGTTAAGATGTGGGAATGTGATCTAAATTAAATCAGTATTTCCATATCAGCAACACTATACTTTCATTTATTTTCTGAGCTCGCTAATCTTAGACAGACCCACCTCTCCTTCACTGGCAGAATGAGCCTTGAAGCCAATCCCACATACTGATTGCATAATTAGGTGCTGACTTTGCAGACACTAACTCCGTGCAGATGGTGTTTGCACATTGAATGATAGATGCAGTGCAAATTTGTCCTGGCCCGTATACCTCAGATAAAAGTTTCATTTTCAGTCTGTTTATAACACTATTATCTGTGATATCCATGCCAAAACAAACTTAACTTACTAAAAACTTAACTGCAAGTCTTCCTGGCAGTTTTACATCATATGCTATGTTGAGACAGTGACAGAACTCCTAAAATATAGGTTTCTACCGTTGTGATAATTATAGGCCACTGTGGTTGTTTCCAAGCAATACAGACTGTGTGTAACGGCAGCACTGCAGCTCACGTACGACTTCCCACAGTGAGTCTAGTTTGAGTACGATATAGCAACCGGAACAATGTAAATATGTAAAGCTGAGGGAGAGGTTCCTTACAACATTTAGTAACAAGGCATACAGTTTACTAATTTCTTAAATGATCGCAATCATCTCAAAGGTAGTCACAAGTATTTGGGTACCAAACTTTTTCCATATTTTACGATTTCAGTCTTATAATATATTACAGTAAAAAAGTATTATATATATTATAATAAAGTGCACTGTAGCAATGAGCTGTGTGGCTGCTCTTTCTTTGAACTGTGATTGTTTATATTTTCATAAACACTTTTGTTTAGATTTTCAAAGCCTTCTTTGCAGCCCCACTCAGACTCACTTTGTGTTGTTTGAGGTAAAAGATGGTCTGGAGGTGGTCAAATGACCCCACTGCCAAGGTCCTTATCCTGGGTAAACTCACCACACTGAGGCCCTCTGTTCCAGCTGCACAGCAGGAGCTTCGTGGCACAGATATCAATGAGACAGTGAAGAGACAGACCGACATGCAGATAGACAAGTGGAGCGAGAGAGACAGATAAAAGGGGAAATGACTGTGTGTGTGTGTGTGTGTGTGTGTGTGTGTGTGTGTGTGTGTGTGTGTGTGTGTGTGTGTGTGTGTGTGTGTGTGTCAGGGAGACAAGAGGGAGATTGTCATCATCCCAGAGTCCAAACAATGACCAAACAAACAACCATTTCCTCCTCTGGCCAGGGGTACAGGATATATCAAGTTCCTGCAAGAGAGGGGCAGAGAGAGAAAAGGAGGGAAAGCAAGAAAGAGAGGCAGAGATAAAAGCAGGGAAGATAAAGATAGAGTGAGGCATAGATGAAACAGAAAAACAGGCAGAGAAAACGGAGATCAATAAACTTCAAAACGGCAGAGAGAAGTTTAACAGTGAAATTGTATAGTGATGTATTAGAATTACGTGTTGTGGTGTGTGTGTGTGTGTGGGTGTTATAACTGTATTTTAGGAGTAAATTCAATATTTAAAATTGAATAAAATAACAAATCCTGAGGCCAATTGAAGACATATAGTGAGCACGTAGCGGAACAACAGAACACTGACTTAATTGTTTCCCCTGTTGCATTTTTAATATGCACCCTTGCAGTGTGTGCAAGTTTTAGGCTGTTCTCTCGGCCGGTGTAGCTTGCTGTGACAGCAGCAAAAAATTGCAGATGTTCAAGTTTCCAAACAGGGTGTGAATGCACCATACCACAACAAATCTCAATCACACTGACACGCGGCATCCGACAATCATTTTTTTTACTTTTCCTTCCCGATGATCACAACGACTGAGGCATCTGAGCATTCAAATCCAGTAACTGACTCCAGTTGGGTCAGTCCTAGTTTAAAAGGAAAGTTGAGGATAAGTTACTTGTCTCTTAATTTTTCTCTTTATCTCAATCCCCCTATCCGGGGGTCCATTCTAGGTCCAGGTTCAACCATTTACCAGCCATCTGTCTTCTCCCCCCTAAATATAATATAACACCACCGTGTGGACGTTTCCTTGCAGTATGTGGAGTGAGGAAGGCAAAGTGAAAGAAAGACTTATTTTCTTCTCAAGTTTGAATTTCTGTTTATTCTGAACTGTGCTCGTAAACACAAATTATAGTAGTTTGAAGTGGCTGCATTGTTAGGGAACAGCTGTTAGTACTTATACATGCATTTATCCTACCCTGTGATATAAGACTGTCTCAGAACAATGGCTGGTTTTTCAATGTCAGTGTGTCGAACAGTAGAGACACTGTTGACCAATGTATCCATAACGTATTGAGCTACTCTGTACTGCACCTTTTATCTTTATATGTCTCACATTTTCCTGAATATAAATACGACCAGACATCTTTATGTTAAACATTTGCATGACTCTTGCTTCTTTACTATACAGTGTCTTACTGTATGATAAAGAAGATATATCAAAGTGTAGGAAGTTATAAATTCAGTCAGTAAATCTAGCTTCCATCTGCTCCACATCCCAGTTTGGCCCAAAAACTGCTTTCATTAACAGAATCAGCAGCTCAGACTAAATACAGCTTTTATTTTGCCCTGCAACGCCGGTTCTCCCAGGAAGGCTATGATCTCGGCCCAGCAATGTACTTTCATGTTATTTAACAAAGATTCTCTGTTAAGCTTCTCTTTGTCTCTTTTTTGGTCAATAAGGATTTATTTATTATATTTAGGGGTTCCATTGAGGTGAAACAGCAGCTGAAGTTGCTTGAGGACAAAGTTAAACACAAGCAGAAACATGAATGCTTAACCAAAGGGATTAAACAATGCCACATCAAAATATGTTCAGTTAATTAATCCAAGGAGCCCACACACAAGAGTCCTGTGGTTACTCTCTCAACATTGTTTCGTTGGGATGATATGAGAAGATCAAACCTCAGGAGTGGACAGAAATTTGATCTGTTATCCAGTATATTATCATGAAGTAATTATTATGGGGCCTTATAAATAATCACTTGCACAATACAAATTTTGGAAATCAGGTCTGTACACAGAAATGGAGGGATTCGGAATCGGAATAATTAAAGAATTGAATAATATGATATACTATTATTGTCCCCCAAAGTAAATTTGTCTTGGACTCAAATGCTGCACACATGATATGATACATGACATATTGTCTTAACATATAACTGCCTCCATAGTGGTAATAATAGAGAAACATAACAACATGTACTAAAGCACATCACAGCCACATGTCACACACAGAAATGTGTAATGAACTTAAAGCACATACGTACACACTCAGTCCCACGAGTACGCACTCAGTCCTTTTCCTACTCTCAAATATATCACTATTTAATAATGTGTCATATGGGGATTTTTGAGCTTGACAAGCACTAAGAAATAAAAGTTTCAATTATTTATAAGCAGTAGATCCAGGTACAAGCACACACACAGAGTGTACACATAAAGTTTGTTTCTTGTGTGTGTGTGTATTTTAGTTTTCATTTGTGCACTTTCTGTTGCAGCTGTGTGATTGTGTATGTTTCCCAGATTTCTTAGAAACATGTTTGTTATAGTTACAGCAGATTATTGGAAAACAGATTATCAACACGTGGTTGTGAAAAGAAAAACAGAAGAAGAAACACAACTTTTGTCCACAGTAACATAATCTTAAAAATGTTTTGGAGACTAAATCCTCCACCTACAAAGTTGTTTCGAACAACAACAGCAGTAATGTGAAGTAAAGTACAGGCTAAGCGACTGTGAAACAAAGCAACAGAAACTTTCCATCTTTGGGAAATAAGAGACAACAGCCCATTTGCTTTCAAGGCGTACCAGGGCTATGCAGACTGTTAATAAGAGTTTGCCTAAGTTCTTCTGATGTGTGCTGAATTATTTAAACTTTTTGCATCCAGTTACTTTTTTTTTCTCTAAATGCCAAAATGTTCTTTGGAAAAGTGAACTCATCTCTGAGCAGTAGGCACACAACACATGACAGATACTGCACTTAATCGGAAGTGTTGGATCAGTTGACCATCTAGTCAGTTGGTTGTGTTTATTTGTGTTCTTTTACGAGTGATGCGTTGCTTTTTGTGCCTTGGTTCTCATTTTCCTGGTGATGATCCGGCACTGAGTGAAAGAGCACCAGTCAACCACACCATGGTTTGGTTGTTGTGCCTGCCTGTGCCTGCAGCTCACCATTCTGGGTGTGGACAGTGTGGTTGTGACTTAATAACTGACTGGACCTTCTTGGGATCCATTTATACCAGGCTGCACTCTCAGACAGCCTCTATATAACCCAGGCTTGACCAGTCATAGTGAGGCGGTAAGGAGCTGCAGTGGAATAAGTGCACTCATCGTGTATTTATGTGATCCATACATGTCCTTAACTTTACCTCTGAGATGAACACATCGGCTTAAAGAAGGCTTAATACGTATATACACTGATGGAGATCTCCGTGAAGCAGAAATATAAATCTACACACAATGACGATGGCTTCTTTGTAACTTTAATCGTGAGTGAAGTTTCTTCTGTTGTTAAATCATCTTTCCTTTTGCAGGAGTGCTCTCCATACGCCGCCCACCTGTACGATGCTGAAGATGCAAACACACCCATGCGCATGCTGCCTGGACTGTGCGGTGATTACTGCTTCGACTACTGGCAGCAGTGTCGGTACACGCTCAGCCTCCTCTTGGAGGACTCGGGGAACCCGCAGCAGTTTGCAAACCTGACTGCAACTTTAGAAGAAGATCGCAGAAGGTTCTGCAATTTTCTGGAACTGAAGGACAAACAGTACTGCTATCCTAATGTATTGACCAATTCAGGTATGGTGTACACATGTGGGACAGATGTTTATGCTCAGCAGCTGGCACGGACACCCATTGAATTAAACTTATTTTATCACTTCTACTTACGTAAATAGCCAACATGAACAAACAGGTTGTCATAGACTGCCAAAGATGAATGTCTTAATTCTCGATGGCAAGAACCTGAACTTGCGCTAACAATCTAGTTATGATTTAGGAGGAGACATTGCCACTCCTTACTAGTCTGAACATAAGGTTGACTGTATGGAAAAAAAACATGATTTTTAAGACATAATGTCAAAAACAGATCCGTGATTGAAACATTTGATTATGACATGTATATCAATTGAAAGTCCAAGGTGGAGAAAATAGTGTTGTAGTAGGTTGTACTTGCTGATGCTAATCTTAAGAAACCTAGAGAAAGGAAGCTGTACTAATTGAGTCTCAGACACACGTAAACTTGAACACAAATCCTCAACCCATTCTCTGTTTTTGTGTGCTTATGATGATTAATTAATCATATATGTTGGCTGCTGTCTTCTTTTCTCATCTCCTGTATCCTCTTTTCTGTCCCCAGAGCTAAACTCTAAACTGGGCTTGGTACGTGAGGATCCCAAAGGATGTCTGGAGCTGTGCTTGCAGGAGGTGGCCAACGGGCTCCGTAACCCAGTGGCCATGATCCACGCAAATGACGGGACTCATCGATTCTTTGTGGCAGAGCAGCTGGGTTATGTATGGGTCTATCTGGCCAACGGCTCCAGGATCGACCGTCCTTTCCTCAACCTCACCCGAGCCGTCCTCACATCGCCGTGGTCTGGAGACGAGAGGGGGTTCCTCTGCATAGCCCTACACCCAAGGTTCACACTTTCGTTATTATGTAGAGACGTTGAAACTAAATATTTGCATGATTCTCAATGGAAAAGGTCACTGTGCCCATGTGTGAAGTGTTCTTCTGCTTCTTTCCTGTGCATAGGATCACCACGGTCAGAAAAGCCTATGTGTACTACTCTGTGTCTGTCAAGAAGGAGGAGAGGATACGTATCAGCGAGTTCGCACTGCTAACACATGATGACAACCAACTAGACCACTCCTCTGAGAGGTGATGAGAGAAGTTCACACTCAGAGAAACACAAGTGGAAACAAAGAGACCTATGCCTCCGCATGAATGTATAAATAGAAGTGGATACAGCTTAAGAGGCGGTGCCCCGGTCATTCCTATGAAAGTTGCTCAGTGACGCATGAATCAAAGAAAGTTCGACTTTTGAGTACAGAATTCACAGGAAATTACCCTCATCCTCTGGCGATACGCATGATGGGGCTCATAGAGCAAGTACTGGTACCTTTAACCCCGCCTCTCAGCCTCGTTTTCAGGCTCATTCAGATAAACGGAGGAAGGAAAATAACTCTGGATTTGGATATTAATGCATTTACAACTTTTAGGACATAATGAGTTAAATAAGGGCCATTCATGTGTTCGTAGTTGACACTTGATTTACCTTAAAACTAAAACTTAGGGATAAAAAATTATCTGTGAGTTAAAAAAGACTCTCTCAATATACGTAAGTCTGTGGGAAAAAGTCTTTTTTGGTCCCCATGGCTTCACATGACGGACCCTGAAGTTGTAATTCCACCCTTCACTCAAATGATAAGGTGATGACATATTGGACGGACTTGTATGTAAACTACAACTTGACTGTTTGGTGGAGACATACAATTGCAAGGTGGTAATTCTACTTAAGATAATATGTGTCAATAAACGTTTAGATGCAATGGAATATCTTTAAGTTCTGGTTCTTATGTACTTCTTGGTTTAGGACCATTCTTGAGGTGGTAGAGCCGGCATCCAATCACAATGGAGGACAGCTTCTATTTGGCCATGACGGGTACTTGTACATCTTCATTGGTGATGGTGGCCGAGCGGGGGACCCATTTGGAAAGTTTGGCAACTCACAGAACAAGTAAGTACAATTTAACAAATTAAGGTGCTTGATTATGACTTTAGTATTTTTCCAACACCTCACATTATATTCCTCACGTAGCAGTGTTGTTGTAACAAAATACATTTTCAGGTTACAGCAGCAAACCTGAGAACGAGCTGCACATGTACGACTTGAGCTCAGGAAAAGTTTGACCGGTAATTGTTTGGACAAACAATTCTCCGAGCAAAAGCTTCCGTCTTGTCTGTAATTTAAAATTATAAACGAAAGTAACATAGATCCTTATCATTTTGATTCCTCGGAGGTTGTTAAAATGTTGGCAGACACCTTGACGTTGTTAGATGTTGGCTACATATAAACATGTATTAAAAAATACCTAAAGTCTGGTTAGAACCAGCCAGTTCTGCCAAAAAGGAGTTCCAAATCATTAAATTCCAGTTAAATTTAATGAAAAGGATCCAAATTATGGAGAAGATAGACATCAGAACTGTGCAGACTCTCAAATTGCTCTGTTGAACTATAAATTATAGTTTTTTTTATAGTCTTATAGTCTATAAACTTTTTGAAGGCAGGTTATCTTCCTCTCATGAAAATTCCCGTAAACTGAGGATCTTGCTGGGCTGGGAACCTGCTCACATAATGACAATTATACGGTACAAATGAGTCATTTGTGTTCAAAAGTTATCATTAAAAAAGTATCCTTGATACATGCCAGGCAATTAGGATTGCAATAAATAAGTTATTTTACATTCTAGAGGGTTTATTGTGAATATCTCAATTATGTTTCATTAAAATGAGGAGTGCTGAAGACCTTTGGAAGGGAATGTGTAATTGCATTAACAGGGCCGAATGTAAGCATGTCACCAAAGAGAGTGGAGTAAAATAGTTAAAACGGGCCCCAGGGAACGCTATTTAAACGGGTCCTATTGCACGCTGGTTGCTTGTTATGAAGCACACGCTCATACACACACACACACACACACACACACACACACGTACGCACACACACCCATACACACACACACGCACACACACACGCACACACACACACCATCATGCGTTTATATATTTGACTAAAAATGTGTTGGATTATACTGTCAAATGAGTTACTTAGGGAGAGTAGACTAGAGAATGCTTTCAGGATTAGCTACCATACATATTGTCACATGATCAATTAGAGAGTTGACAACATCAATATATATATTACCCAGCAATCATCATTGCATAGCTGTATATGACAAAAATATGAAAGAAAATAAAGAAATATTTGTACAATTTATGTAGATTCAGCATATCATTTTGTTATAGATTGCCACTGTCTTTACAAAAAATAACAACTATGGTGGAGATAGTTGAGTGCTTTTTCTTTAAAAACAGGCATATTTCTTAGGCACCAATGTTAGTCAACTGCAAAGGCCTGTTCTCTGCTCATTACATTGTTGAAGGCCTTGCTCGCTATAAGCCCTTGACCAAGAATCACAGCAGCAGCAGAGGGAAAGAACTATCCGGAGACCAGGAGGGATAGAAGGAGCCATTAATAGACTGCATATTTGGAGTCATGGTGGACTGAATGTATCACTTCATATTGTATGTCCATTCTTCTTTTCGGGATTTTAGTGATGAAAAATTTAAAAAAAATATTAACCACATCAGCATCTGGTGGCAGTCCACAGATGTCAGTGTGAGTTGGAGCATGGTGTGTTTATGCCGAGAGCAGTTTACATATAGTTTATAAAAGGGGCTTTCATTAAAGGGACTCCCGGACATTATGTGTCTTTTACTGTGTTGGTAAACATTACTCTCCTCTCCAACCACATGACCTTTGCAGTATAATTAATTTAATTAACTTGATAGATAGGCTAGCTGTATCTTAAGGCAATATGTGTTTGTGTCTGTATTTTCACGTATGTGGACATACTGTATATGTGGAAGCTATTATGTGTGGGGCTTTTTCCCTGTAGTGAAGGTTTGCCCTTCATTCAGCTGTGAGCTACAACTGTCATTCTTTATTCTCATTTGATCAACTCTTAGCGGCTTAAATGTTAATTACAGCCGACGGACAACAAGGTAGGAAGGGCTATTACTGCTCATTTGCAGTATTCACATCGGAAAATAATCCAAAAGTGCCATGCATATAGTAGTTACACTGTATACTCGTGAGCTGACAAATACTACATTATTATCAGCATTCTATCAGAAGCAGGTTAATGACATAGTTTACGAAACAGTAAGCAAGGTTTATTTGAGACACTGACAGCTTTTCTCCCGACATTTATAGTTTAGCCGCTTAGCTGTTTCTGAGGGGTTTTGTTGACAGGTTGTATTAACTGTAATGAGGGAGGATGCAGCCTGCCAAGTCTAATATTGACTCTACAAATTGCACCACCACACACTGGTATGTGGAGGAGCGAGAGAGAGAGAGAGATAGAGAGAGGAGGGATTGGAATGAGTAATCTGGGCTATAAGGAGAGAGCGACCAGGGCATAGGGAGGAGAAAGGTGCAGAGGGAATGAGAGGGGAAGAGGGAAACAAAAAGATGGAGAGAGGGATAGATTTGAAGGACACTAACCACTGACAGGATGTTGGATGGAGAGGAAGACATGGGTATAAGGAAGAAAGAAGATGGGAAAGATAAATGAAAAATAAAAGATCAAAGTTCAATGCAGAGGAAGATGAGGTTTTTTGAAACAAGTAGAAAAATAGTTTGATGGGACAGCCTAAGATCAAAGGTGAAAAAATAAAAAGTTTCAGGTCAACTTCTTTTAGTATCCACCTTAAAGGAGCACTCAATCAGCCGCTCGGTCCCCTCGGTCTTGAAGCCTCTCTGACTCTTTCTGCCTCTCTCATCTACTCTCTCATCTACTGTCTGATAGGTCAACACTCCTTGGCAAGGTGCTGCGTGTTGACATTGATAACAATGACGATGGCTTCCCGTACAGCATCCCCTCAGACAACCCATTCCTGAGGGAGAAGGAGGCTCGACCTGGTAAATCCCTTAAACTGTTACCTCTGGAATAAGGCAATTATATCGGGTCACTTTTAAGATGAAGTGAACATTTAAGAAGAATGTCACAATTGTAAACATCAAAGTTACTGTGAGGAACTCCATGGTTGTAAAAAAGTCTCAATTGAATTAATAACGATGCCTCTATATGACCTACGTGAGTAAAGAAGACCATCAGCATGAAGATTGGCTATTTCTATATAGTTATTCTTAACACTTATTTGTGTCAACATGTAAATGTCTTTTCTTCTTTCTGTACAGAGATTTACGCCTACGGAGTTCGAAACATGTGGCGTTGCTCCATTGACCGAGGTGACCCCGCGACAGGCCGCGGCGGAGGCAGGATGTTTTGTGGTGACGTAGGCCAGAACAAATATGAGGAAGTGGACCTCATTGTTAAAGGTGTGATGATTGTAGTTTGATGCCACGTTTTACTTTAGAGAGAGATTTAAGGTGATTGGGAGCTGATTATGTAGAAACATCTAAATCACAGCCAAACAGATTTCTGTGAGTCTAGCAGTTATTTTAGAGTATATTTACTGCATTGCGAAAAAATTCAATTTAGATAAAATGGTACAATAACTCTTTCACTGAGAAGTTGCTCTAACTTTGTCAATATATGTTTAAAGGAGGCAACTATGGATGGCGGGCCAAAGAAGGCTTCAGCTGCTACGATCGCAAACTCTGTCACAACTCCTCGCTCGGTGAGGACACTTTCTACGCTGCTGAAGCTCACTTTATTTACTTTCACTTTTTACAATTGACACTAGCCTACTGAGAATGATTACATGTTTTCTTTGAGTATATGTATTGTCACTGTTAAAAGCTGCGAGGGCCCATTTTAGCCAAATATTTTTTAAGTTTGTGGGCTTGAGTGACTTTCCATATACACTATATTTATCCTTGGTCCTTTTCAGTGTGCAGAATGTCGCTATAGTTGTTATGATGATAAACCGATGTGTTGTTCTATGTCTCTGTCTAGATGACATCTTGCCTATCTTTGCTTACCCCCACAAGCTGGGCAAATCAGTGACAGGAGGATACATTTACAGAGGCTGTCAGATGCCCAACCTCAATGGACTCTACATCTTTGGGGATTTCATGAGTGGGTTAGTGATTCTGCGTTATTATTTAGCCGGACATTTTGTACATTTTTAGAGAAGCCACTGCAACATTAATCATTACAGTAAGTGTGGCTGGAGAAACCCAAACACTTTCAATAAAAGCTGCACTTTTATATTGTGCTATTTGTGTTTATGTGCTGTTGTTTCTGTTTAGGCGTCTGATGTCTCTGAAGGAGAATGTCACTTCAGGTGAATGGCAGTACAATGAGATCTGCATGGGAAGAGACCAGACCTGCAGATTCCCCAAACTCATCAACAGTTACTTTAAATACATCATCTCTTTTGCTGAGGATGAAGCTGGTGAGAACCTAACAACATGCAAACAAACAGTCATTGTGAACTACACATGTCTAAACGTTATGTAAAGTTGAATGATATGGTTAGTTAAGGGGTTTGTTTCCTTATTAAAGTGTAATTTCTTGACTTGTGGAATTGTTGACAATATTAAATTACATCCAAAAGCACCCAGTACAGGGGTCAGTTTGACCTTCAATCTGGTTTGAATTAAACAGACTGCTGATTTACGAGGGAGTGTTGCACACTCTTCCCTTCCTCTGAAAGTGACTGGGGGAGGAAGTTGAACAGTTCAAGTAAAGTCCAAATCCTATTTCTTGCCGTAACACTAATTTTGAGTTTGTTATGTGGTTTATTTCCTCTTTCTTTACTTTCTATATCCTTTATTTTGACATTTTCTCCCTCTTTCTCCCTCTTTCTCTCATCCACACTATTTGTAAATACCCCCGTCCCTCCTTTCTTTCTCCCTGCTGTCCACCATCTTTTTACCTTCCCTCTCTTTCTTTCTTGCTGTCTCTGTCTGCTTGACTCTCTATCTTCCTTTCTTCTTTCCATCTTTCCAGGAGAACTGTATTTCTTAGCCACCGGAGCCCCGAGTGCCACAGCAAGAGCAGGAGTCGTCTACAAAATAGTGGACCCTTCCAGGTAGCTAACCGTTACAAAACATCACTGCAGCAACACATACACTTTCATCATACCTAAAGGGGTGTGTGGTGTCGAGGTTTTTAGTTTCTCTCATTTTTCTTGCCAGCTGTGTGTCTCTAAGCTTTCTAAATTTGGTTATTAAAGAACTGTGACCAAGATTTGAAGTGAGCAGGACTTTTTGATTTTGAAAAAAGAGCTGCTGAAAGTATCAGCCCCACCACCTGTCTAGCTCTAGTTAAAGTATAATAGCGGATCTTAGAATACAGTAGAATTACTTCTACAGAAGCTACAGAACTAAAAAAGCATGTAATGGGTTGCTTATTGTTTCTCTCCTGACCACACAGACGAGCAGCACCAGGAAAGTGCAGCGTCAAGCCTTCACCTGTTAAGATTAAGGGAAAACTGATTCACTTCTACCCCAAAGAAGGTTAGCAAACCCTAAAATAATGTTTCTTTCATTTAAACATCCTGGTTACCTTCTGTTACACTCATGTTTGTGTTTTCTCATTTTATTTTGTTGTTCTTTATAATAACATTAGACTCTTGGCCACGTGCACTCTACCAAAAACCTTGTGAGAACGTTATCTGTTGAATGCAAAAAATAATAATGTCAATTAGTCTCATAATCTTGTCAATTTGCAACATTTAGTTAATACATATTTACATACGTATCAAAGTCTCTATGGGGTTACTGATCAAAATGTCTTTCTTGTTTGCAGAGTTTGTAATCAACAAGAAACCGACCACCACACCTGTACCCACGACAACCACAAGAACAACAACAAAAACACCACCAAGAAGAAAATCACCCATAATAATAATAAAGCCACCAATGCCAACAAGAAAAACATTAAGAAAAATGCCACAACCGTCCACAACAGCAACAGCAACAACAACAACAACAACAACAAGAAAAACAACATTACAGACAACAAGAAAAACAACAATGAGAAAAACTTCACCACCACCAACAACACCAACCTTAAAAGCAACAACAACAATAAAAACAACCTCAGCAACAACAATAAAACCGCCAACCATACCAACAACTGACCAGATGACCATGGCAACAACCCCCGCCACAACCTCACCCACTGGTAGGCCTACTGGTGCATCTGTTTACCAAGCCAGCTCCACTGATTATTCAACCACTAGATCCACTATTTACACAACCACTAAGTCAACTGTCACTACTAACATTAAAGCCAACAGTACACTAGTGCACACCTTGTTGCAGGGAGAAGCAAGCAGCATCAAAGCAAGTGGTTTCTTCCTTTGCGCTCTGTTTTTGCTTTACATTTTAACATGCTAATAGCTAAATTAACATTTGTGCAATTTACTTTCCTTGGATGATTAATAGAATTTTCCTCTTTGATGAAATCAAACCACTTTAAAATTAGAAAACTATAAATTACAGTTGCAAATAATTGCTGTAGGGTTTATATGAATTAAAAATATGAATATAAATAGTTTGGCAGCTAAGTCAAAGTTGGTTAACTGTAAATTACTGTAACTGTAATATACTCACTTCTGGCTATTAAAGCATTATGTATTCATACTTCCTTATTAGTTTCACTGCATAAGCAAGAACATGAACAGCAAAAACTACCAAAATCACAGCTTGTCTGTTAGAGATCAGGTATTTTGTGGCATAGTGAAAAAAGAAAAAGATGATTAAACAGATGCTAAAAAGCGAGGAGATAAATTAACTACAGTAAAAGTCAGGAGGGCCTATTTGGAAAAATGGGACGTTAATATATTTATTTTGAATTATTTATGATCTTTTCTTTGTGGCGCAAAAAATACTAACTCTTGATGATGTTTTATTGCTAATAATTATATTTACCACTTCTGAGAGTCCATAAATCAATATGCAGCCAATCAGGCTGTTCTCATCCACTGCTTGTCCTTATACATACTAAAAATGATGAACTGTAATTTGTATACAACCCGCATAACCGAGAGGATACGTTAACCCAATAGTAAATTCTTCGATCCGATTTACTTTTTTTGCTTATGCTTCTTATCAGTCTTTGCACTTTAAAGGGAAAAAAAACTATTTCTTTATTTCCTTAGTTTAGTATTTACTTTATTAAATGCTAATACAATTGCAGGTTGTTAGAAACTTGTATAAAGTACAGCAGTGTTCCAATGTCTCAACTTTTGCTTATGTTCTGCTTATTGACCGAAAGCAAATTAAAGACATGTTTGCCTTTGCGGAGGTAGAGGGTGAGAATAATGCTGCATTCACATGGAATCAGGTGGATGGGAAACCGAATATCATGTTAGTGGACGAGAGCAGGACAGTGAAATTAGGTGAGGTGTTGGTTTGTTTTTCCCGTGCTGTTTAGAGGGTGTTGTCTGTCTGCCGTCAACCTGATTCCATGTAAATGCAGCATGAGCCTTTCACACAGGTCAAACTCAGGTACAGGGAAATTAGCTGTTGTTGCGACTTTAATTCCTGCTTAAATGATATTCTTTGGCTGGTACAAGAGTCTAAAGCAGGATAAATGGTGCTTATTTATGTTTTGGGTATTACTTTAATTTAAATCGGGTAATCTGGCATTATTTATTTTGAATAAATGGTTCTGCATCAGCTTCAGTTTGGACATTCATCTTTGTGTGTCTGTGTTTATGTCTTTCCTTGCCTATCTTCAAGGATAACGTTGCTTTAAATGGCTTTAGTGAAATCACAGCTTTTTTAAATACGCGACCTCAAATGAGCAATTTAAAGGTTAGAGAGACATGTTTGGAAATGTGTTTATTCGCTTTCTTTCAGTTATACATGAGAAGATTGATACCCCTCAATCGGAAATGGCAAGTCTGGCTCTGTCCACGAATTCACACTTTATATCTCATTTGTTTACTTATAAAAAACTGTGTGGAAAATGTGTGAGAACAAATATTTGTGTTTTTTATCATAGTGGTATCAATCTACTCATCTGACACTCAACAAGAAAGCAAATAAGTGCATTTCCAAAAATGCCAAAATATTACTTTAAAGAAAAACTTCTTCAGCACATTGTTCAACTACATATAAAGAGAGTGATTCTGTCTCTCCATCAGGTTATCGCACAACCGTCATGACTGCAGCCTTCTCTAGGATTGCTCAAATCCCAATCACCACACTTCCAACCAGGAGACACTGGAGACCCTTTCAGTACACCCCTTTTACCACCTCCCAACCTTTGACCTCACCACCACCTCCTCGTTCTCCACACACAACATCCCTTAAACTACCCCAGACGGCTCAGACCTCTGCACGATACTCCGAGCATCCTGAAGCGTTGACCACTCCACGAGCGCCATATTGGAGCCAGAAACCCACGACATCAGGCTACAAGCCCCAGAGACCACCTATCAACACAACGCTGCCCAAATCACAGGAAGTCCGGCTGTGGCATGGAGAGAAGCTGGAAAGCGCCGGGGAGGGAAACCAAGTATATAAGAGGCCTCAAGGAAGAGGTCGCGGCCACAACAGAGGAAGAGGAGGAAGAAGGCTGCGGGTTGGCTCGGTGCGAGTGGTAAGCGTCGATGGTTTATCAGATAGAGGTAGAGTGGAGATATTTATCCGTGGTGAGTGGGGGACAGTGTGCGATGACCTTTTCAACAGCAAAGCAGGTACTGTAGTGTGTCGACAGCTTGGCTTCACAACGGCGTTGGCGGTGATGAAGAGGGCTGCGCTGGGGGAGGCAGACCGCAGCGTCAGGATCCTGTTGGATGATGTGGAGTGTGAGGGCGGGGAGAGATCACTGCTGGAGTGCAAGAGATCCAGGGTGGGGAAACACAACTGCTCACATAGGGAAGATGTAGGAGTGATCTGCGGATAGCGCGGAGTGAAAAGTAAAGGAAAGAAGAGAGGAGACAGTGGAAGGATAAATGGATGTATCACATACAGAAAGTGAAAGAATGAAAGATAGAACGAGAGAATTTGAAGAAGGCATAAAAGGTTGTTACATACTGCTGATTAATGTTTGTGACGTCAGTTTGCTGAAATTTCTATGAATTCTATTTTTCCATGTTTTCCAGTTTTCATATTGATGTTTCATTTGTCATTTCCCGCCTGCAGCCAAATGCAAAAAGAATTTCCATATATATATCACCTTAAATACATTCTGTTTTTGGGATTTATTTACACATTCCTGAGGAGCATAGATCTTGAGAGTTTCTCCAAACGTCACTCAGTCCACTGTTTTGGCAAATCTAAGCAAGCACAAAATACAATATAAGCCCCGCCCCCAGCTGCAACTCGGTCAAGCTGTCAGAATTACTATGGAGCCCACACTGTCACTAACTGCACTCCCTGAATAAATGTTATCTAAAATTTGCAAAATCTAAAAAGTGATTTCAGAGAGAAGCAGACAGAAGGATCTACAAAATAGGTTTGAATAATACATCCAGCATGTCAAACTGATTCAGTGGCTAAAACAGGTTAAAAAGATAGAATCTAAAACCTACAGTGTAAAAGCGAACTTCCACATCACCTGGTGATTGAGACAAAATTAAATTAAATTAAGGAACATCGCTGCTCTTGTAAAGTTGGGTAGCTCTTAATTCACTGTTACAATCAACAGGTTCAGTAGCTTGCATAGCATAAAAGTGGTAAAGTTAGTTAATGATGTGCTACTCTGCTAATGTTAGCTCCACAAACGTAACGATTCAGAAACGTATACCTCCTTCTTACCTCTCTGGGTAGCGCGTAGGCTATGACTGTTACACTTAGCCCAGGCTCAATGTTTTAACCACAACTAGCTCGAAATCCACAAAACAGTGTTAAAATGGAAAAGATCTGTAACAATTACATGAGAGTCTATGGAGCAGAACCGGATAATTGTCGGACCCTGGCCCGAGCGGGCCAATGCTATGCTAAGATTGGCCAGTCTATATTCGAGGGGCAGAACATAGCAGAGGTTCAATTAAAATAGTTAATATCAACACATAAACCATTATGTAGGAAACCTCTCCCAGCAGGTTACAAAAACAAGTCTGATTGGATAGAAGACTATGAGAAAATGACCCTACTTCTCACTTGATTTCTAACCTCAGTAAACATTGTAAACATTAGTTTATGCTCTCAATCGCTAGTTTTAAGTTGCCTTCAATACAGCATGATTTTCATTGAGTAAATGATGGTCCCATTTAGAGTAAAACAGATGATAAAGCAGGATATGATTTAAGGGCATTGTTACCTTGAGATTAACAGGTCACTGCCACAGTGTTGTCCAGTGTGGAAGTGGAAAAAAAACAGATGGCGATGCCCAAAATGCCGAAATTGAAGCTTCAAATTGGCTGTCCACAAACCAATGGGTGACATCATGGTGACTACGACCACTTTTTACAGTCTGTGATCTCTAGCCAAGGCAATCTCCTAATCTTTCAAGCAATCACCCTTTCTCAACCGCTGTGTAATGAAGAACCTGGTTATATCAGAATTCATTACAGTTATGGTTCAGAATGAATCGGGTCATTTCAGTGGAACTGCTTGCGGGCGCTTATTAATGCTACTCAGAGACGTGAACTTTGACAGGCAAATTTGCCTTGTTGATCATCAAATTATATATAACCCTACTTAGACTGTAATTTGTTCAACAAAAGAGATGCTGCATGGTTGAACGGTACAAGTTCATTGAAATAACGGTGCTAACTTACTGTCTGGTTAGTGACCAAATTGTCAATACGTCACCAAGCTTCAAGGGAACGACACCCAAATGAGTTTCCCTGTGCCGCACTAAAGATAGCGACCATTGATTAAGGATCATTGTAAAATGAGTGCAACTACAAAGTGATTTGATGTTTGTGGTGTTACATCTTCAAGCATTTACACTTCTGGTTTTGATTTTAATAAATTAGTTTGATTACCTCAAAAATGCTCAACGAGTGACTGAGTGAGTGTTGGAGAAACTTTAATTATATTCTGGTTTTGTGTTCCGTTTTCATACTTTCTATCCATGAGGCAAACAGCATATATTAGAAGAGTCAAGTGTGTTCTAAGAAGACATTTGTATTTTTATTGTAGAATTTCAACAGGTCTATTTTCAAAAACATCTTTTACAAATTTGCATTTTGATTCCTTTTTGAATGTAGTTTTAAGATATAAACAAAGAATTCTCAAGAGTTTTAACAACGACATGCTGGACATTCTTTATGATGAATGTAATCAAATGTTTCCACTTTTATATAAGGAAATGTAAGTGCACTTTGAGTGTCTGTGATATTAATAAAATGTTACTGCAAAATGAGCTCCTTGTTGTTTTCCATTGTCTCTGCCAATGCATTCTAATATGCTGAAGAATGATCGCTCTCATCGATTTGTCTACAGCAGCGAGTACACACACACACACACACACACACACACACACACACACACTCTCACTGTAAAACTCTTCTTCCCATTATATGGTTCTTTGAGTGAGACGGTGTCTTTGGTGACCAGATTTCCTAAATTATCCGCTGTGTTTACAACAAATCTTAGGAAACGCTGTGGGACTGTTTCTCAACTTGTGACTTTGATCAAACAGGAAAGAGTACAATGAAACAGCAATATTACTGATGAGCATTGTTGTCAATTTTCGGTCACCATATTAGCCAGGCAACTGAAAAGAAAAAGGTTTATCAGACTGCAAGTATTTCTGCCTGTTGAGTACACTTTGCCTTTGGAAGATACATTGCAGGCATTTCAAATATTTAACATCTTGCTATCTGAAAGAAAATTGGGGATGGGAAGGTCGAGCTGTCCTGCCTTCTTTTGTACGATGCTTTCAAGGTTTAGAATATCTGTAGAATAGAAATCTTTTACATTAAAACAAGAGCGGATACACGCATTCCTGCTTGGATTAATGAGAGAATAAATATAGCCTGTGCACTGACCTCCGTGAGTGGAAAGTGTTCTGTCCCTTGAATGTGAGAAAACACCCAGCAGGTTTCCCAACTGTTTGTTGAAGACTGAGTGTATGTCAGCAGGATGTTCTGCTGTGAAGTCTAACTTGAAGCACATTTGACCTGAACTGATGGTATGAGTTTTATTTTAGAGCCTAAGAGTCTCCAGGCAGTCAGGCCGGTAAGGAGGCATTGGAGCACATGAACAGGGATAGAAGATAGCGGTCTATTTTAGCTCACAATATATGCACAGAGAGAACATATCAAAGATGATCCTCTGTTTTAAATTAAAATGATCCATATAAACACACTCTACAGAATGCTTCAGTTTTTCAACAGTACACTGTGAACAAATAGTCTGTGATCATTTTTGCTTCTGCTTCTAGACCAGAGGGAGGCAGTCATGTATCAGGTTTCATCACCAGTGGAAGATGTAAAGACTTCATATGCATAGTAACTGGTGAGGTTTCTTTTTTAAATCAGTTTGCACAATTTATTCTGCAATTAATATGGTTTTAGTTTAGATGTGTTTTATACAACCAGGTCCATCGCCTAATAAGCTAAATCATGCATGTCAGATCCACAATAAAGTATTAAACACCAACAAAACGGAAATGTAAGGAGACCTCCAAGATAGAGTTATTACCCGTGTCAAAGCATTAATGTAACAGAACAAAAATGAATGCATTCATAAAGCTAGAGTTCACCTTGTCTTTAACTTTTTCTGACTTTAATTTATGCTACTCTTATATGTCCCCTCCATACTATTCTAAAACAGCCTGCTTGCTTGTCTTCTGGCCTGAGAGCTCAGTGGAAAATAATGTCATCCCTTTAACAATACACAACTGTGTTCTTCTCGTAAGGTGTCAATGCACTTTTGGTAGTCATCGAATGACAGAAGTCTGTGAGGAACAGAGCTGGCAGACATGAGGAGCCACAGGTGGGTTTTAAAAAATAGGGGTTTATTTAATCACAAAAGTAGGAAACATGCAATAAAAGGTATAGGTCCATAAAATAGGTCCACTTTACATAACTACACTCAGATTACGATCATTTCACATAAACTGAACAGACCTGTGTTCTTCTTTGTTTCAGGCTACAAACCAGTGTGAAAGGGACACGACGCCAACTGCTGTATCGGAGTGTGCAACATCACGATTCCATGAAGAGTTTATAATCTACATATTAGACCTGTTTCTTGACACCTCCAACCATGAAGAAGAACATGTTTAATAGTTAATTGAACTGTCTTTGGAACAAAGCAGCAACATAAAGACAAACGAAAACCAACTAAACTACAAGAATAGCAACAGAAAACAATTCAGTTAAAATTTTTTTACCAAGTTATCCCAAACAAAAGTATCAAAAATCGAATATATTCCAGAGAAATAAACAAAATATCTAAAGTGGAAAACCCAATACCCCAAAGAGTATTTCCCCAAAATAATCAAAGTGTGCACTAAACAACTCGACCACAGCTGTTCACAATGTTCTGTAGTGTTAACTAAAGCCTCAGGTGAGACTTTGTTATGCAACCAAGCAAGGTGACTGAAAACACATCCCTTATAATGCCGATGATGTTGTGTTCACAACTCGTTTTTGCTGCCCCCAAGTGGCCAAAACAAATTTATGGAAGTCCCAGCCCAGTATCATGTCAATTCTTGAAATACTAGGGACACAAATTGTCCATTGTCTTCGTGTTGCTCAACACAAAGACAATGGTTATGGAAAGTCAATTAGGATCCTTTTTCCGTGGGGGACACAAAAATGTAACGCATCCACGTAACTAGCAGACAGAGTTAGTGAAGTAGCATTAATGCAAAACACTATTTAAGTAAATAAGTGTTGTTGTGACGGTTTTCCTAAACCTAACTAAATGGTTTTGTTGCGTAAACTTAACAGTACTTAGTTATTTTAAACCCAAAGATGATTTTTCATTCGGGGAGAGAGAGCA